TTTTATCTCTTGCTGTATGTCCTTTTTTATGGATGTATTTGTAGGTTTTTTATAGGGAAAAGGGGTATTTGTAGGGAAAGATTATGTCACTTCAGTTCTCAATTTGAGGCATCATTATCCAAATGTGTACCAGATGAATTATCATTCATTATACTCTCAGTGAGAATTAATTCGTTCTTTTTTTTTCCCTTGAAACCATTTGAGCATAACCAATAATGGATAGTAGTCCCATATATTTAATATTTATAACAAAAAGAAAACGCAAAGGTGGAAGCTTCAGTTTTAAAATGTTTCCAAATTTCACATGTTCAGTTGTCCTTAGCATTTTTTTCAAAATTATAAACACATCAGAATAGTTCTACAAAAGTTCTAGAAATCTTTAAAAAGTTGCATGGTATCAATCAAGACAAGACAGCGCATTATGATTATCAAAAGAGCAGCATTATTTTATTGAATTCCCTTCTAGAAAAGCTTCTTCAAAATAGACACAACATTGATCTTCACTTTAACAATCAAAGTGTCATCACAAATATAGCCCTTCTTCACTTCTTTGAGATCTCTCAATGGCATGAATTCCGGAAAACCCAAACCGGTCTCTATACCACCAAACTCGAACCAACACTTACCTGCACACACACAATTCAGAAGAGCCAATAACTTTAGTCTTTTACACAGAACCAAAACCAAACCAAGATTTCAAATTAAAAATAAGCTTTGGAAATTATGGTAAAACCAAAACGTTAATGTTAATTACTTTCTAATTTTTTGTGTCCAACTCCATATTTACTCAGCACAGCTATCTCAAATTCAGCATACACTCGACAACCTTGAGGAAGAAGCTCTTTGAAACTATCAAATATCAGGTACAATGACAAAAACCCAGCACTTTCCTGGGAGCATCCTTTAGGATGTAGCCTTATCTTCCTGAAATACAAAATATTATTTTTATATTTCATAAAAATAAATATATTAAGGGTAAATATAATCTAAATTTTGCATACCAACGGTAGCTCTCCACTGTAAAAGGATCAGATAGATACATATTTTCATCTAGTTGTGAAAAGTTTTGTTGGTTTTCCAAGTATATTTGTTATTTTTTGGTTCCTTGATCAAGGAAAGGGCCTCCCCTTTCCCATCACATTTCATTACGAAAATGTCAACTCCAAAGGCACAACAATCATCAACTAAGAAACCATTTGAAGAATCATTGAAAGTCTCAAGTGAAACCAGCTTTCCAAACCCCCACTCTGTCTTCATTGCATGAAAACGTCTTACTTTCCCATCTGAAATAATATTATTGATGATTAAAAAAAAGAATCCAAAATTAAAGTACATGGGTTTTGAGTAATTTGGTTACCTAGGACTGCCAAATAGTTGTCTCGGAGATTATCATAAACAAGAAATGTAAGCACAACATTGACCTCTGAAGTGGCTGATACAATTTCATCCTCAGCTGTTACCAAATAGAGGGAGATGTAACCTGATCCATTTCTGTTCTTGTCTCCATTGGGATACAGAGCTAATTTCCTACCATAACACCAAAAAAAAAGAGTCTCGAAAATTAGAAAATAGTGAGAAAGCAATTATATGAAGATAAATGGAGTTTATAATATGATACTCCCACCATTTATATCCGCGGCATGGAAGATTTGGGATACAAATCTTCAAAAGTGAAGTGAGTAAAATAGTGATCAGAGTGCGTAAAATTGCTTCAAAAGTGAAGGTGAAAGTGTAAATTAGCTACCATTTAAAACCGCCGACATTGAAGATGGGGGATTCATATCTTTCACGACTGCAAGTAGCAAGTGCAGTCTTCAGCAAGGAAAAAGGTTGGATTTGTAAGGTATAATGGAGAGGTTTTTCATCTCTAATGGACCTTAAAACTGCACAAAATAACCAGAGATAACTCTACAAATAATCCATTAATATTTTATATGAACTACGAAGAATTTGAGTGATTGATTGAGAGAATGTTAAAAATATCACAATTACCAGAATCTGCCTGAGATGAGGGGAAGATGATATTGTTCCTCTCCATTCTCTTTCCCAACGTTGGCGAGTAAACAGGCAAGCGGAAACTTTATGTCTTATACTGTATAGTTTGTCTCTTATACACATTTTTTTTTTTATTTTTTTTTTTTATGAGTTGCTTTTGATTTGTATTTTTTTTTTTCTTTGTATAAGTAGTGCCGCCCGGCGCCGCCTATTTGTGTTTCCGAGTTTTTTAGAAGGAAAAAAAAAAGAGAGAGAAAAATCGCTCGCAATAATTGTACCTTAAATATGGGTAAATATTGTTCTTTGGTTTAAGCTTTTAAAACGTTGGGAAGTTGTTTCAAGAAACCTTCAGCCACAGGGAAATTTTTTTAGAAGTGATGTCAAGATTTCAGAATTGTTATATATACATGCAAGATTCAAAATATTGATGTCAATATGGAAAATTTCAAGGTCTTGCAGAAAACACAAAAATGATGAATATTGATGTAATTACTTTAATTATAGTTTAATTATCTTATAATTGATTATTTTTAACCATGGTATCAAAATATATAAGTAATATACCTATGGAAATGTAGTTGCGATAAGAACTTAGAAATAAAATCACATATACATTCATAGAAATTATTTGAATTAGTAAATTAAAATTTAATATTGCTTGATTATAATTTTTATTGATAATTTCTAACATAATATAGTCTTATTATTAAAAAGAGAGAGAAAATAAATTTTCGATCATGTTTGAAATAGATGTTTATTTGGTGGTCTTTGAAGTTTCAAAATAGACATTGTTGGTTATGGAGATTTGATAAATGTTTCTAAATGGTCATTGAGAGCTTCTTTTGACCCTTAGTTGGCTAATCTTAAAATGGTGTGGCCTTTAACAACCACATCATTTGAAGGTTAGTCAACTATCAATCAAAGACGTTCTCAAGACCATTTTAGAAACATTCTTTTACATCTCGAGGATCGAAAATGTCTATTCGAAACATTAAGGGCTAAATAAATACATATTTCCAACTCTAAGAACAAAAAAATATTCCTTTTGAAACTTCAGGGACCAAATAGATATCTACTTCAAACCTCTTAGGGACCAAAAATGTATCTTCTTCTATCTAAGCAAAAACAAAAGCAGACAACATTTCTGTTTGGACAAAACTGCCACATCTTTTAAAAGGCTCCAACTAAGACATCAGAATAGTTCATAAAAATTGAAGATATCTTCAAAAGGCTACACCATCAAAAGACAGCATTAATTATGATCTCAAAGATCAGCATTTACCCTACCTTCTATAAAAATTACTTCATGGTAAAGATGACATTAATTTTCACTTCAACAGCCAGAGCATCATCACAAAATAAAGCCTTTCTTTGGTTCTTTGAGATCCGTCAATGACATAAACTTTGGACTTCCACAACAGTAGTCCAGACCACCGACTTCAAACCAACAGTTGTCTGCACATGAATAAACCCAATTTTAGCTGGATTTTAGCATTCATTTTGAAACAGAAAGAAAACCAAGATTTTAAAGAAAGAATAAAAGTTAAGNAGCTACAAGTTGATCCAATATGGCCATCTCAAATTCAATGTACACTTGAGAATTTAACCTAGGGATCGGAACATCTTTCAAACTACGAAATACCAGGTACAAGGACAAAAAGTCAGCCGTGGCATTAGGGCATCCCTTAGGATATAGCCGTAATTTCCTGAAAGAAAGATGCATGAATGTACATCTGCATATATACTGCAAAAAAAAAATAATAATAATAATAAACAAACAAAAGCAAAAACAAAACAAAAAATATAATGCATGACAAAAATGTCCACTCCAAATGAACAGCAATCATCAACCAAGTATCCATTTGAAGCATCATTGAATGTGTTGAGAGAAATCAACCTTCAAACTCCCACTCTGCCTTCATGGCATGAAAACGTCTCATTTCTCCATCTGAACATTATAAAACACAATAAATATAATGTACAAGTAGCATAAAGTAATTAATTATGTAGTTTCAAATGTAGTACAATTTAAATCAAATTCAAAATCACATGTGCCGTAAAATACATTAAAAATAATTAAAGTTAGTCTATATTTGGAGGGGAAAAAACTCAATATGGCCACGCGCATTTACTGAATCATTTGAGTCTATTAAAATATTTAAACGACTCCACTGGGGATCGAACCCAGAATCTTTGGTTCCGTAGACCAACACCTTATCCATTGGGTCATGGAGTCATTGTTGATTTAAGAAATACATATATATTACATGAAAATGAAAGAAAGCAAACTCTCGTATTTCGGAGTCCAACTCCAGCTAAATATTTAATTTAATAAATTATTCTCTTAAATCTTAATTAATTTATTTATAGGTTAAAAACACTAGTGCATGATTTATTTCAAATTCTTACTAATAGTGATTATTTCAAATTCGTAACAGTTTAGTCTTTAAAATTTTATACATAACAATTTTTAATATGGAATAACAATTTTTAATATGGAATTAGCTTGTGACAGGTCCTAGCATTAGTATAAATTAGTTGGGAAAATGTGGTTGAGATCCGGAGAGGGAGGGAAATAATTAAATAATGTGTTTATAAGAATCAAATCTGTTTAAAATTTGGTTTAAAAAAGATTCTATATTTTGGTTAAAAAACACTTTTGGTCGCCACTATAGTCTCAATACTTTTAAATTGGTAATAGTTTAGTTCTTGAAATTAGTGTATCTTTCACGGAGGTTTAAACATATCCCGAACAAGTTAGAGGTTCGGCTTCCTTCGTTGCATAACAACGATATCTATAAATCTTCATTATATCATTATAAATGCTACCATTTTTTTCAATTGGATTGTCTTCCTTTCTTCTAGTTCTTGTATGTTTCTCACACACACTTTTATAGAAAAGACGTCTTTTTCAAAAAATAAATAAATAAATAAATAGTCTCTGAAATTTAGCAGGTAATAATTAAATCTAAAGTTTCCAATGATTTAGTCCATATTATTATTATTATTATTTTTGTTAAATTTCTTATATATGTAGATCGATACAAACGAATGAAAGATCAAATTTATTTATAAATTATAAAAATTAAATTGTTATAGATAAAAATTGACCATTTTGATGAGAATTTTGGACCGAAATAAATGTACTTTTTAACCTTAAGTTATAGTCTTGATGAGATTTTTTTACGGTAGTGATTAAATTATTACACATTTGAAATTAGTGCTACTTAAAAGCTGAGAGAGATGGAAGAGACTGAGGAGATGGCAAAAACTTTTTATAACAATAAAAAGATTCATAAAATTCCTCCTTGAACTGTTTAAGATCTTCGAGTATATATCTATAATTTTTAGGTTCTTCAATAATCATGAAAAATATCCCCCTTTCATTTTCTCTTCTAAATCTCTTCATATTTAGAAGAAGACTTGTTGCCCTTTTGCTTCCAAAACAACACATAATTCATATCTCAACATGCTTTCAAATCACACTGAAATTAATTTGATCAATCCACTATTTACTCTCAAAGTAATTACTAATTCCATATATTTAAACCCCACAAAGAGAAAGAACCAAAATTGGAAGGCATTAGAAGTTTCAAAAGCCAAAAAAAGGCAGACCCAAAAATTAAAATAGTAGAAAAAAATCATTCACAATGCTCAAAGACTATGGAAACTTTTTCAAGGTAGAGACAACATTAATCTTCACTTGAACAATCATACTGTCATTAAGAATATATCCGCTTAATGTGTCTTTAAGATCCATCAATGACATGAATTCTGCACAACCCCAACCATCTCCACCACCATATTCAAACCAATGCTTATCTGTCCAAAAAAATACAAAAAAGAACACACAAAAATTAGCATATGTATGCAAATTTAAACAAAATAATAATAATAATAATGACAATAATTTTGATTTGATTACATGTTGATTTTATTGGCCAACCTCCAACTTGACTCAGCACAGCCATCTCATATTCAACATACACTTGAGAATCATCAGGGAGCTCTCTCAAATCGTCAAAGATCAGAAACAATGACAAATAGTTACTCATTGCCGTGGGGCATCCATTGGGATGCAGTTCTACTCTCCTAAAACATTTATAAAACGATTCCGTTAAATTTTAATTTGGTCTCTATGATTCGACTTAATTGAAAAATGATTCTTTTTTTTCTCTTTTTTGTGTACCAGTGGTAGCCCTCGACTGAAAAAACATCAGAGGACAATGTTTTAGATTGTGTTGAAAAATGGTTGATTTTCCAGGTAAATTTGTAATGTTCTGGTGGGTTGATCAAGGAAAGGATCTCCCCCTTGCCACCATCATCAGATTTGATGACAAAAATGTCAACTCCAAATGCAGCATACCCACCAACCAAGAACCCATTTGAAGGGTTATTAAAAATGTCAAATGAAATCAACTTCTCGAACCCCCACTCTGTTTTCATTCTATGAAAACGTTTTACTTTCCCATCTGCAAAATAATGATAAATTAAATATAGGGTCATCAAAAAAAAATTAAATTAATTAAAAAAGACCATTTTGGTTACCTTGGATTGCCAAATATTTGTCTCTAAGACTGTCATAGACAAGAAATGTAAGCACAACATTGACCTCTGAAGTGGCTGATACAATTTCATCCTCAGCTGTTACCAAATAGAGGGAGATGTAACCTGACCCATTTCTGTTCTTGTCTCCATTGGGATACAGAGCTAATTTCCTACAGTAACACCAAAAAAAAGAGTCTCAAAAATAGAAAATAGTGAGAAAGCAATTATACGAAGATAAATGGAGTTTATAATATGATACTCCCACCATTTATATCCGCTGGCATGGAAGATTTGGGATACAAATCTGTCACGCTTGGAGGAAGCCAATGCTTTCTTCAGCAAAGAAAAAGATTTGATTTTTAAGGTATAATGGAGTGGCTTTTCGTCTCTGATGGACCTTAGAACTGCAAAATAACACTCAAAAGGATCCATTTTAATTATGAACTTGTTGACAAACTTGTTAATTAATTAATGAAGAAATTAGTAGAACAAATTAAGTTTGTACCCAAAGGAGATTCTGCATCGGTTGTGGGGGAGAGGAAGGTGGTGTTCTTGTTTCCCATTTTAGCCTGATTTCTATTCAGTCCACAGAACAGATTCATGCTTAAACAACTAACTAATTAATTTTATACATATTAATTGTGGCACTCTTTATATAGAAATTTTGCTTTACGTTAAGTTTATATATATATATATATATATATATATATATATTTAACTTTTGAATTTGAAATCTGAAATACTACAAATTTGAAAGATTTAGATTGGTTTTTTTTTGGTTGTGAGATTTGATTTGATTTTGATTCCTTTTGTTTCAAAATAACTTCAAATCAATTTGATTGCAAAATAGTTCCAATTTTTCTGGTTTGTGAGATGGTAATACAATTTTTACTTAAAATGAACAGTAAAATCTTATAGTTAAAATACTTTTCTGGTTCCCGTACTTTTAATTTAAACTTGTTTTGATCTATATATCATTTTGGTCATTGGACTTAAAAAAATATGATTTATTTTGGTCTTGGTGTTAAGTTACTGTTAATAAAGCAACAGATGGATGACGTGGAATATATTTTAAGATGAGTAAGAAATGAGGCGTTAATTTTAAAGGACAAATCAGCAAAGTCATTGGGGTTGATTTTCTTCGAATTTTTTTTGATTCGTTAGTTGTAAAACTGGCGAGGTTCTACCATTTTTATTTCTGTTTTAATCTCGAAGGTAAACGTAAAACAAAAACAACTCTTCAGCTTACGGAAAATTTTGGAATTCGAAGGCAAAGAAAATGAATAAAAAATTTGAAAAAAAAATGTGTATTTCAGTGAAGAATCTGTAGCTCACCGTTGGCTGATTTTTTTCTTTTGGCTTTTTTTTTTCCTTTTTGAGTAATATACTTTACTGATTTGGCATTAAAATTACCGCTACATTTCTTACCCATCTTAAAAAATATGCCACATCATCAATCAGTCAAAATGAACCATTTTTAAAAGTAGGACTAAAATAAATATTTTAAAATACAGAAATTAAAATGAACCAAAATTAAAAAATACAGGGACAAAAAAGTATTTTAACCAAATTAAAATGAACCAAAAAGTATTTTCCTTTTTGAGTAACATATTTTACTGATTTGGCATTAAAATTACCGCCTCATTTTTTACCCATCTTAAAAAATATGTCACATCATCAATCAGCCAAAATGAATCCTTTTTAAAAGTACGACTAAAATGAATATTTTTAAAATACAGAAACTAAAATGAATAAAAATTAAAAATACAGGGACAAAATAGTATTTTAACTTTTTTTAAGTAAATCTTTTTGTTTTAGAAATTATTTTAGAAGGAGATAATTTGTTTCTAGATTTTAAAAAATGAAGGAGATTTATTAAAAGATCTATTACCTTTTCTTAAAAGGTTTTGGTAGGGTTTGTTTATTTAAAAACTTCCAAACCATAGTTTTAGATTAATATTTTTCTTGGACGGTTAGAGCGAGCTACCTTTCGAGATTTTGGGTTGCATATTCAAGGCTGTTTTCTCTGGTACTTAGCCCTAAAAAAACAACAGTAAGTTTTCTTTTATGTAATTCTTTAATCCTTCCATTCGGTTTGTCGGAAAAAAAATTGAGGTCTTTGTTTTTTCTTTTTCAATTAGAATAAAAGATTTTGAAATTTTTTTACCTAAAAATTTTCCATAATTTTTTTAGTTTGAATTTTTTTTTATTATCAAACTGTTTTTGGACTATTTTAGATCTACAAAGTTTACGGATTTATATCATCTTAAACTATGGCTTATTGTTTTGATTTTTACATGAAAATTATAGATTTCTACCGAATTTTAAAGGCTGTTTTGTACCATTTATCTGATTTTTGGTAAAAAAAAACACTACTTATGAACTGTTTTGTGCTGGAAAATAGTAAATATTGATATAGAATATATATTACTCAATAAAAATTATTTATGGTGAATTTAAAAAAATGTAAAAATTTTCGTGATATAAAAAAAAGAAAAGAAAAATATAAAATTATATTTCCCCACGTCCTAAAGATATGATTATTATTATTATCATCATTTTAGGGAGAGGTTAAGATTACGATTAAGATGAAAGAATAACACTACAAAATTTTGTTTTTAACTAATATCAGGAAAAATAAAATTTTCATTAAATAATTATATCATGATTGAAATACAAATTATTAAAAGATTAGACCATGCTCGACTTTTCAAATTTCAAACTAACATTTAAAAGTAAAATTAACATTAAAATCAAACCATATATTTAATAAACAAGTATGATTTTAATAAAAGAAAAAAGTTTCCATTCTCTAGAATATGAATATGAATACGAATTGCTTTTTGTTTATTTTTTTATTTTTCCTTAAAAATATTGAAGGAAGGGTCATATGCCGACCCGAGTTTATTACACACTTTCCTAACACACATTATCTTGATGAAAGAGAGTGAAAATCCATTTACAAATTTAAAACATATATTTTAGATTTTGTTGATAATGATATATCAAATTTATTTATTTATTGAAAATAGATATATCAATTTTATTTAGATCGTTTAATCATGACATTTAATTAATTTTATCAAACTTCAATTCCTATATACTAAAATAAAACTAAAAATATCACGTGCATTTCTTTCTCACTAGTTTTCTTAGGAGATGAGTTTAATAGTAAAAATTGGTATAAAATATAGATTATTTAATTGAAAAATATTTATGACGAATTTTAAGAAAAAATTAAAATATTTTCATTATAGAAAAAAAGAAAAGAAAAAAAAGACGAAAAATCATAAAATAAGATATTGAAATGTTTCTCACTAATATTTAAAATATTAATAATGGAAAATTTTAAAATTTTTCAAGAGAATTTCAAAATGAAATTCTCAATAGGTTATTCTTTTTAATATTATCTAGAAACATCTATATAAAATTATATTAATGAAAGATAAATTTATTAATAAAAAATTCAATAATAATTTAAATATTTATTAATTATCTTATATTGTAAAAATTACGTTTTTAATTGATCTAAATTTAAATAAATAGATAATATTATTAATATTTTAATATGGAAAAAAAGAGGTATATTCAAATTAATTCGAGACATGCCTACAAAATTTCTACTAACATCATTGCATCCAAATTTCGAAACATTATTAAATAATATATTATTTTATTTAATCTGTCCAAAATTATTCTTAGAAGTAAGAAAAAATTTCCATAGTGCTATATATTTGAATATTCTATTTCCCTATACTTAAGTCCATGTAGATGATGATTAAGATAGAGAAAAAAGTAAAAATATAAAATATATTTTTAACTAATTATTGGAAAAGATAAAAATTCTTTTAAGTAATTATATCTGGGTGATGTGATTGAAATTCAAATTATTTAAAAAAAATGGAAAAAAAATATTAGACCAGGTTGGATTTTTCTTTTCTTAGTACAACAAGACTACCTTTCTGCTTTTCAAAAATCAAACTGACATCTCCAAATCAAATCAGGTGGAAATTTTTTGATCCAAGATATCATAGAGAAGCACCATAAGAAGCCACTTCGAAGGTGATCGAAGAATCAAATTTGAAGAAATCAAGAGAAATTATGGGAAAAATGGACGATAAGCGTAATGACAATATATTTAGAGTGATGAAGTCACTGGAAAACATGGAGAAGGCGATCGTTAGAAAGTCAACAGCAGCTCCAAGATCCATCTGCCATAATCGAGAGGTTTGGTCTCTCAATCTCCGTGAAGAATTAGAGCTGTTGAATGAGTATCTTCCAGAGTTTCCAGTAGTCGTCATCGATATGGAGTTTCCAGGTATTGAACGGTTGCTTAGATGGATGATTGAAACTGTTTTTTAAGTTTAGCTTAAAAAAGGTTTTTACACTCGTGAACTCGATTGATGAAACAGGATTTCTCTGGTGCACTCCGAAAGGCATCTCGGAGGAAGAATTCTACCATTGTCTCCGATTCAATGTGAACCGATTGAACATACTCCAACTCGGTCTCACACTTGCCGATCAGAAGGGAAATATAGCAATGACTTGGGAGTTTAACTTCAGAGATTTTGATCACGTTAGCGATATGGAAGACGTTTCTTCGCTGGATTCATTTCTGAAGAACAAAGGGTTTGATTTCTACAAATTGAAGAAATACGGAATAGCTCAAGAGGATTTCACTACCTTGTTTCTACCAATATGTCGTAGTGGTCAAATCAAGAGATGGATCACATTTCACGGCTTCTACGACATTACTTATCTTCTCAAGCTGCTCAAAATCAAATCCATACCGATTTCCATGGCAACGTTTGCCACCACCGCTCAACATCTATTAGGTACTAATAAATGATCAATCAATTCAAAAGCTTTAATTTGATGTATTACGGTTAATTGAATGTTTTATATACATACTTGATAGGTACGGTTAGCGATCTGAAGCATATGGCTCGCTACTGTGATGGACTGCTCGACGGCAACCTAGGGCTAAAAAAATTGGCCAAGCTGCTCGACGTGAAGCGTATAGACAATGCACATTTTGCTTGTTCCGATAATTTATTCACAACTTCAGTATACACCAAGATGAAGCAAATTTTCAAGCTTCCGCTAGAGCAATGCGAAGGGTTTCTCTATGGCTTGCCTTATCCGATTAACGGTTTTCAGTCAGTCGCGAAGATTATCGATCCATCCACCATGACTCCTCCTCCACCGCTACCATCGAAGTTCTCAATATTGTCTTTTTGCAGCTCTACGCCGCTTTTGGTTGGTATTAAGTCTAGCAAGTTAAATGGTCCTTCAGTCATAGTTGGTTGAATTTCTACTTCTAATTTTTCTTTATTTACCTCGTATATTATTTACGGATATTGAAATCCTTGTAATTCACTGTTAAGAAGGCAGATGTGAGGATGCCAAGGCACCGACATAGTCGGGATGTTTGGGGGACATCCCTTGTAACCAATAACTTTGGAAAATTTTGGAATTCAGGCAAAGAAAATGTATAAAAAATATTGAAATAAAAAATGTAAACTCAACATAGATTTTACTGATTTGGCATTAAAATTACCACCTCTTCTCTTACCCATCTTAAAAAAACATGTCACATCGTAAATGTGTTATTTTATTAACGATAGTTTAAAGGCATGGAACACAGCTAAGTAGTAATTAACATATATCTCCAATCATTTTGTCCCTCATATGTTGTATTCAAAAAAAGAAGAACTTTTAAATTTTTAAAAATAGAAGGACTAAAATGAACCTACATGGACCAAAATGAACCAGACTTAAAAAGCATCGGAACCATGAAAGTATTTTAACTTTCTTTTCTCTAAAAGATAAACTTTTTTTGTTTTAGAAATTATTTTTAAAAAAGATAATTTGTTTCTAGATTTTAAAAAAGAAAAAGATTTGTAAAAGATCAATCTTATTGTATGACCTTTTTCTTAAAAGTTTTTGGTAGGATTTGTTTTAAAAACTTTATTAACAGTAACTTAACGGTAAAGATTAAAATAAATTATTTTTTCAAGATGAACATTTTCAAAGTATATGGATCAAAAGAGTATTTTAACCATCTATTACTTATTTTCTTGCCAAGCCAAGATATTTTGTTTGTTAATTTTTTTATTATTTTCTTGAAATTTTCTTATGATTATCGATTTTTTTTTTCACTACCTATTCATTTTGGTATTACTAAACTTTGTAGCATATTTGGTAATTAAAATTCTATCTTTTCCCCAGAGAAGATAAGTAGGCATTATTTCAATTTTGAAAAGAAAAATAAGATCTTTATTGATATAGAAAAGTCTTTCATGTAAAAGTTAACCCAAACTTATAGGTTAAGATTTTGTAGTTTCTACTTGGAAAAAAAATGTATTATTATTATTTAGGCTACTTAGTTAATTGATATTTTGCTAAATATTAAATTATATTCTAATATAAATTTTATATAATGAATTACAAGAAATGTATAATACTAACTTAGCAATAGCATGCCCTTAACGAAACTTCTTGTTGTTTTTTGGTCAAATGATAGATACAATAGAAAACAGGAAAGATTGTTTTGTTTTATTTCTTCATATCAGAAGTAGAATTTGTAATGTGATGAAAATTAAATGCAGAATTTTGAAGACATTTTATATGATTGACGTATATTCTTTGAGAACAACAGAAATATCATCCTAAGTGTAAGTAGATCTTGAATCTTGAACTTCAAACCTTGGAAATAAAAAGATGTAGGATTAGATGGACAGTATTCAAATGAATGGTGGTTATCACAACCATATGAACCAAAAAATTGATTAACAGGAGTTATGAACGTGCTACTTCCTATTGGTAGAAAAAATTTGCTATGAACGTACCTTCGGCGACGAACTTTCCTCTCGTTGTCGAAGGTGCCCTGGCAATGAAAACGAGTTTCGTCGCTGAAGGTGGACCTGGCGATGAAAACGAGTTTCGTCGCCGCACGTACCTCCGACGACGAAACCAGTCGAAGGTGGTGATTTCGTCCCCACTCTTTTTTTTTTCTTTTTTTTTTCTCTTTTTCCTGAATCTTTATTACTTTCTCAATAACATCTAATAACACCTAATAACACCTATCATCCAGTACTGTTTCTCAATAACACCTATCACTAAGAATTGAATTTCATTTAAAAATTATGAACATTTATTTTACAAAAAGTACAAATTAAATTTAACAACCTACTCTAAAAAGTCCCAAACTTAAACATATTCCAAACAATCTTATCTCATAAAATTTGTTCATAAAATTTGATCAAGTTTCCAAAATCTTTCCATAGAGAAATCGAACGAACCTGAAAAAACAAATAACAAATAAACTAAAATCTTTCCATAGAGAAATCGAACGAACCTGAAAAAACAAATAACAAATAAACTTATATTAGCAAAATAATTTATCTATTTCTCAAAATTAATTTAAAAGTCATAAAAATATCTAGCTCACTCCAGAGACATGTCTTGAACTCAAATTAGACATTAAAAGTTAACTCACCCCATCCATTAACAATTAACAAACTTTCCTTCTAACTCACTCCAGATGTCATGAACTCAAACTAAACATTCAAAATTCCATATGTCATAAACTCAAAGCATTTCACAAACTAAAATAAAAGTACAAGAGCATCCTCTCGATCTCCCAAACACTTTCATTCAAATCCAGTTAACCCAATGAAAAAAGGCACAGGCATATATAGTAAAATACAAATCCCAGTTAATGCTAAATATAGCAACAACATTCTAGATTTACAAATATATCAACAATAAAAAATAATAACAATAAAGTGCAGCCTAATAACATTTGTCACTCATAAAAAATACTAAAATAGCTTTGGAACGTCTATCAGTCTACTAATGATATACGTTTATCACTAATAGACTATATTAGTGATAGGTGTCTAAGACGTCTGTCATTAGTAGATTATGTGTAAATATCTATCAATTATAAATTATATCATTGACAGACGTTTATCACTAATTTGACTATCTTAGGTTTAGATGTGATAGACTGTGCCATTGATAAACTTCTGTTAATAATAAGACTATATCATTGTGATATATGTCTATCACTAATACACTATATTGGGGATAAACTAATATCATTTATAGATTTTATCATAAATTGATTATCAATGACAAACACACAAGATGTCCCTTCTAACTAGGGAGGAATGATTTATTTAATGATATAAAATTATATTGAAACTTATTGTATTTTATGTGTTTGGTTGTATGTTGTATCATATTTTAAATTTAATTATTAGCTTGTATAACTATTATATTTAGCATTTATTAGTTGGTTCTTGATTTAGTGTCATAGTTTGCTTGGAATTGTATAGCTTCCTGTTATGATAGTCGTACTACATAATGGAGAGATAGTTTACACATTTCTTTTTAAATGGCTAATTTGGATAAGCAAGTGGGATTTAAAATGATGAGATTGGATGAATTTTGACACATTTCTTTAAGGGTTTGTTTGAGTGTGAGAGTTTTTGGTATGGATGTAAGTGAGCTACTCCTCTCTTAGCCAATTGATTTTGAGATGGAACTCCAAGAATATTGATATGATATTAGAACTCAAAAGCTCAAACGAGCATTCGGTCTAAAATAGGATCAGACCAAGATTGGTGAACCCAAAGAGGCACCATCTTGAGGCCGGGGGCATGTTAAGAATCTCACATTGAAAAGAGAAATGACCTAACAAGTGTTTATAATATAAGTGGACTACTTACATCATTGTCAATTGGTTTGGAAATGAAACCTCATGAATATTAATATGGTATTAGAGCTCAAAAGTTCAAACGAGCATCCGGTTCAAAAATAGGATTCGGCCAAAATCGATGAGTTAAAAGAGTCACGATCTTGAAGGGACATGCTAAGGATCAACACGAGTTACTCCTCTCATTGCAAATTAATTTTGAGATGGGTTCCATATCAATCTTGGCTAGATCTCATTGTTTTACCGGATGTTCTCGTTTGAGCTTGTTGCGCTTTGATATCATATTAATATTCATTGGTTCCATCTTAAAACTAATTGGCAATGAAAGAAATAGCCGACTTATATTATAAAGTCTTGATCGTCCCTTATTTATACTGATGGAGTTTCGTAGAAATTGATAATAATAATAATGAAGATATTAAGCACGAAATGGGAGGCAATGCATACATAATTAAGAAATGAAAGCACTTTCCTTTTCCTAAGCAATTACACACTCAAGAAAAGCACAAACACATGGAGAATAGCAACCGCCGAAAAAGCAGACTGTACCAATACAATCTGGAATGTCGCTACTTGGGGATCTGGATTTCAGCATTTTTCTTGGGTTACCATTCTTCAAGTTGTTTTCTGCTACAATAACTTCAACTTTTTCAAGCACTGCATCGCCACCACCATCAGAATAGAGTTGAAGTTGAGGCACCCCATTTTGGTTAGCATCATAATATTGCACTAAACAACATCATCCTTGCCACCAATAATGCCATCTTCTGTCCCTCCGTCTCAATTTCTCTTCTGCTCTTCTTTTCCATCTTCCCCTGCCTATCTTCTCCTCGCCTTTTTTTCTTGATCTTTTTTCGGTATGCCGCTCTGCAGGAAAGAAAACCAAGTGGGCGACTGAATCTCTTCTTCTATTCTCTTTACTTACACCTTACACTTCCACTGAGTCTAACGAGGCTCAGGTGCAGAGCCTTCCAGTGGACCGATTTTCTACCTAGGATTTCGAAATGGTTTAGACACCAATTCCACAGGTAGAGGGGTTTGGTACGTAAGTCAAAAGGCCTGGCGCACAGATTGACTTATTGCTGCCTATCAACCTCTGCAGCAGCCTTTGACTAAGGAAGGAAAGAGTGAGTTACCCTAGCTACGCCATGCGTTCAATACAAAATCTGGAAAGCTGCAAGGATGGATATTCATTATGAATCGCCAAAGTCTTCGTGCTTCTCCATTGTTCCAATCAGATCCGAAAAATGAGAAAGAAAGGACCAGAATTGTGTTTGTTCAATTTGTTCACAATTTCTTTATCAAGTTCGCTTTTTTTTTTATCTTCGAAACAAATCTAACGCCACAACAAAAAATGTCTTCAGCGACATTAATTAGCAACAAAATTATTTTCGTCGCTTTTTCAGCGACGAAATAAATTTATCGTCCCAAACTAGTGACGAAAATGATTTTGGATCGCTTTTTATTATTATTATTTTCGAAGGTAAACGTAAAACAAAAAGAACTCTTCAGCGGAAAATTTTGGGAATTCGAAGGCAAAGAAAATGAATAAAAAAATTGAAACGAAAAAATGTGAATTCAACAC